GAATGGGGAACCTGTGGCCTCAAGGCCACATGTAGCCTTCTAGGTCCTCGAGTGTGGCCCTTTGACTGAATCCAAACTTCACAGAACAAATCCCCTTAATAAAAGGATTTGTTCTGTAAAACTTGGACTCAGTCAGAAGGCCTCACTCAAGGACCTAGAAGCCACATGTGGCCTCAAGGCCATAGGTTCCCTACTCCTGTATCCTATCCCCTGATTTGTTTTTCTCTGTCCTTATTAATTTGCCTGAGGTAAATTGCCTAGAAGCCAGTTGCTGATTCTTTTACAGCTATCTTTCCTCTGGTTTACTGATGAATAAGGTTAGAACTTAGGTAGAAATTTAAAGAAAAAACTAGCATAAAAGTGAAATGAAAAAATGAAAAAAAACAAAACAAAACACCAGAACCGTAAAAACAGTATACATGATGATTGCAACAATATAGTAAACAGAAATAACAAAAACTGAAACCTAACATTGTATACTTATAATGACCAAGTTTGACCCTGAAAAGGAAATTGAAATTTCACCTCCCTCCCTTCCTTGCAGAAGTGGGAGACAATGGCTATGGAACCTTTTATGTCTTGTTGGATTCAGTTGATATGTTGGCTAGTTTGGCGGAACAGCTTTTTTTTTCTTTCTTTTTTATTCTTTATAAGAGATAACTGTAGGTAGGGTAAATAGGACAGATATATTAGAAAATGATAATAAAAACAAAAGATATTGCTAATTTTTTAAATAAAAATTTTAAATAAAAATTAAATTTAAAAATTTTTTTAAAAAACCATAAAAGATTGTCAAGAGCAAATTCCTACACCCAGCCCTGATGGCTCAGTTGCCCAAGGACCAGACTCTAATTCCCTGTAGCCCCTCACAAACCAACAGAATTTTGTTAGTGAAACCTACTCTCTCAGGTACATGGAGTATAAAACGTGTGCTTTGAACCAGTATCAATAGTCCTGGCCCAAAGCATGACACACAACTCAAAACTAGTGATATAGGGTTCAACCATTAGATTTAGCAATCCTCAGCAAGTGGAAAATAAGGATTCACTTTCATTTAAATCTCCTAAAGCTATTACTAAAGAAAACCCTCCACATGCTGAAGAAGGAGCTAATGTTAAAGATAATTGGCAAAAGGTAACATAACCTTACTATGTTTTGTAGGTTGCACTAGTCTGTAATCCTACCAGGGTATGTGAATTTATTTATTTGTTTATTCATTTATTCTGGGATAGCATCTAGGTTTAGAGGCTGCATAGCCTGGATTACAGATGTCATCATTCCAAGAACCTGTTTCTCTCATTTCAGCTCCCTTCAAGGGGCCAGAAATAGTCTACCTTTTCTCTTATTTTAAACCTTTAGCTTCCTATAGAACCATCTACTAAGTTACTATTATCCTACTTGGGAAAAAACTCTAATCTCAGCTCATTTACAGAATAGAGATGACTGGCATACCCAGAGCCAATAAATGATCATTGATTTCCTAGCTCAGATTACTTTCCCAAACTGCCAATACCAAACAACTGTCTCTAACCCAAAAGGAATTATCTAGTGTAGGTGAGATAGTGCTGCAGTTGGCCACTATGTGGCATCTGAGAGTCAAGTACAGCTGATCAGATTATACTCTCTAAGCAACTGTGTTGGGAAACATTGAAGATAGGGAACCCAGCCAAGGAAAGTTCAGAATTCCTCAAAGAATAGTGAAGAGATATGTCCAGAGTCTGGGAGAGGATAGCATAATTAGAGGTGTAGTAAAGGACTAAATCAAAATGCATTCATAATCTGTGCAGGTACAGGAGTCCAGATCAAAAATCAGTGCAAATAGCAGACATTACTGGGTGGGTACACAAAGCTATATATATGAGGATCCTGTGCCAGAGTAGGAGCTCCTGAGCTAAAGAAGAAAGCTGATATATCAAGGTCAAAATTACTAGAAATAAATGCATTGGATATTCTTCACAATTTGCTATCATTTCTTTTCACTCTTTTTCCTTTTAAAGCTGGCTTTGTCTAGCAGGATTTTTTTAAGTGTTTGGTCTAAAGCTGGATTTGAACTCAGGACCTCCTGACTTCAGGGCCAGTGCTCTATCCACTGCACCACCTAGCTGTCCCTCTAGCAGGAATTTAAATGTCCCTTTACTTGGGAGGCTGTGGTAGGACATGACACATTATCTCTTTGATGACTTAATACTCATTTGTTCTCTCAAAATCCTTACAGTTTTACCAACTGACTCCAGAAATACTTGAGTTTGGTTGTGTAAAAGTACTAGTGATTCTATCATATTACATAAACTCTGCCATTTTTGACTAACCATACACAACAGCAACCATGATGTATCTTATTAGATATAGCAGGTTAACTTCATTATTAGTTTTACTTGCTTACAACAGGAAAGTCTCCTCACTTATACTCAAGTCTTTAGAAATATCAATGGATCTATGAGTAGTCAGGGAAGAATTCATTCATTTAACAAACCTTTGTTGTTTTCCTACTGTGTATCAAGTCCTGTGTGTGTTGGGGGTTGTGCGGTGGGGAATGGGAGAGATTTGCCACTGAGTACAAAAATGTTTAAGATAATGTTAGGGAAACATGTACTTGTGAAGATGAAGAGATGTGACCTAGATAGGAATACAATTAAATGGATTCGAAGTTAGTTGGATAGATTCAGAGGATCGTTGTTAATGGTTCAACGTGAACATGGCTGGCATTGGTTGATCAGTCAAAAAGCATTTATTAAGCACTTACAATGTGCCAAATATTGTATTAAGTACTGGAGATAGAAAGAAAAAAAAGCAAAAACAAAACCATCATCAAAGGAATTTACATTCTAATGGAGTAGACAGCATACATACATACATACATATGTATGTATGTATGTATATAAAAGAGTCATATAGAGTAGCTACATGGTAACTTTAGAGAGGTTGGTGCTGGTATCAAGGGGACTAGGAAATGCCTGATTCAGAAGGTAGTCTTTGAGCTGAGTTTTCTAGGAAGCCAGAAATTCTAAGAAGTAGTGGTTAGAATGGAGTATTCCAGGCACCACAGAGATAACTAAACTCACAAGAGTAAATGAGATCACGAAGAGGGTATAGAGAGAAACCCCAGGAACAGAGCCTTGGTGTGTACCTACCATTAGAGAGCATGGCAAAGGAGACTGAGAAGTAGCAGTCATATGGGTAGGAAGAGAACAAGGAGAGAGTACTGTCATAAAAACCTAGAGGGGAGAGAGTTTCTGGGAAGAAGAGGGGGATGGAGAAAAGGTATAAGATGAATCCTTCTTAATTTTGGAGACACGAGTTTTATTTGAATGATGAGGTCAGATGGAAGAAGCTGTAAAAGATGATGGCATGCTCATCAAATTTGTAGATTACACTAAGCTTGGAAGGCTAGCTAACATAAAGGATTATGGTTGGGATCCAAAAGGATCTTGACAGGCAGTAGGCTGAAATTAAAAAGGAAAAATTCAGTAGGGATGAGATTATCCTGGCTAGATTGAAGTTTGTCTGAAAAAGATATGAAGATTTAAGTGGACTTTTTGCTCAGTAAGAATCAGTAGAGTAATATGGAAATGTAGGTAAAACCAAATTTGCCTACATTCAGAAGTATAGTTTCCAGGAATAAAGCTATGATAGTCTCACTGTACTCTGTCCTTGTCATACATCATCTGGAATACTGCATTAAGCTCTGGGCACTACAAATTAAGAAGGACATTGATAAGATAGTGTCCAGAGGAGAGCAACCAGTATGGTGAAAGATCTTGAGTCCATGGAACTGGGAATGCTCTAGCCTGAAGAAAATACTCAAAAGGAACATAATTTTCTTCAAGTAGCTGAGGTCATGTAGAGAAAGGATTAGACTTTTTTTGACTATAAAAGGCAGAACCAGAAGCAGTGGGTGAAAGTGTGAAGAGATAAATTTAGGCTAGAAGTTAGGGAAAACTTCTTAATAATTAGAGCTGTCCAAAAGTGGGACAGGTTACCTGAAGAGGTTCTCCCACCTTGGAGATCTCTAAGCAGAAACCACTTGTGGGTATTCCTTTTGGTTATGGTTTGGATTAGATGAGTTCCCTTTGCCAATCATGAGATCTCTTGTTCTGTGATTGTATGATCCTACTCTCAAGTAGCTTACAGTTTAATAGAGGAGGTGGCTTATATTTAAATAGTTAGTGCCATGGATCTCTTCTCTGTGAATGAATGAAAAGGCATTTATTAAGTGCTTACTATGTGCCAAGCACTATGTTAAGAGCTGAGGATAAAAATAGAAAAGAAAAACTGTCCCTTCTCTCAAGAAACTTATATTCTAATGGGAGACAACACATATAAATGGTTTCATCTGCAGATCAGATGGAACTACCCAGTCAGGTTAGGATACAATAGCAAAGGCAGTGGTAATGCATCTTCTTTAATATTATTTTCATTGATAAAACCATATTTGTTTCTGATCTTGAACCATTTGATAATGACAAAAATTTTGGTAGGGAAAAACTTTCTTTTCTTGATCTTCAGTAGCTGTGGCTGTTGAGGCAGCAGGGGGCTGCAGCACCTGCAAAGGTAGTTGCCAGGTCTGTGTCCTGATAAGTTCATAAAAGTTGGACTGAACATAAACTTTTGGAAAATGGACAGCCTCAGCAATTTTGCCATGGGAAGGTACAGTAATCCAAAAAGATTGAGTTGATCTGTTCCACAAAAATGTTAGTACCTGCTGCTGACTCTGTGCATTTGGAAGGGAGATATGTTAGGGTAGTTGAGTAGAGGGGTTCCATTAGGAAATTTCCGCTTCTTTTGACTTTACCCTCTTCCTCATTCTGCAGATATGAACACTTGGAAGTTTTAGTTTTCTTATTGGTAACATCTATACTAGGTGGTTTGGTATTAAGAAGTTAAGGGAGAGAAAAATCACATTTATACTTAGGGATCCTGTGTCAAAGAGATTAGGAACCTAGCAGCCTAGGGCTGTTTCTACAGAAGAATATTCATTCATTTTTTTTTCTCCTTTACAGAGCAAGAGAGGCATTTGCAAGCCAACAACAAAGAATTCAATGAAAAATTTGAATATGTGGTAAGTGTACACCTTAGGGCAATCTGAAGTGATGGCAGGAAGACCAGGACATTAGCCTGCCAGGACCCTTTACTTGGGTGACTGGGTCCTGGAAGATGAGGGGAACCATTAATTTATGAGTCAACAAGCATTATTATTATTTGCCAAGCACCATACTAAGTACTGGGGATACAAAGATAAATAAAACCATTCCTTCCTTCAAGGAGCTTATATTCTATGAGGGAAACAACATATACACATATAAATAGATAAAATATTCTAAGTAAATGAAATGTAATGGGAGAGATACTGGCAACTGGGGGATCAGGAAAGGCCTCATGTAGGACGTGGTTCCTTTTTTTTTTTTTTTTTTTTTTAAGCTAGGCAATGGGGTTAAGTGACTTGCCCAGGGTCATACAACTAGTAAGTGTCAAGTGTCTGAGATCGGATTTGAACTCAGGTCCTCCTGACTCCAGGGCCGGTGCTCTATCCACTGCGCCACCTTGCTGCCCCGTAGGAGGTGGTTCTTGAACTGAACTTTGAAGAAGGCTTGTGTAGAGTTGGGAAATTCCAGGCATGAGGAGACAGTCAGCTTATCCAAAGTCACAGAGATAAGAGATGGAGAGCCAGCAAGCAGGCCAGTGCGGCTGGAATATAGAGTTCGTAAAAGGTAATAATTGTTAATCAGTCTGGAAAGGTAGCCTGGAGTTATATTATAAAGGGCTTTACATATCCAACAGAGAAGTTTTATTTGAGCCTAGGGATAATAAGGGGGTACTAGAACTTCTTGAGCAGAAGAGTAACAGATCAGACCTATGCTTTAGGACTATCCCTTTTGTAGCTAGGTGGAGGATGGACTGGAAAAGGGACCAACTGGAGGCAGGGAGATTTATTAAGAGGCTGTTGCAATAGTCCAGGTGAGATATAATGGGAGCCTAAACTAGAGTGGTGGTGGTATATAAGTGAAGAAGAGAAGGATACGAAAAATATTTGGAGATAGACTTGGCAACTGATTGGATGAGGGGGTGGGGTGGATAAGTAAGAATGAAGAGTTGAGGATGACTTTGAAGTTGCAAACCTGGGTGACTGAACAGATGGTGTACTTTGGACAGAAATGGGGAAGTTAGGAAGAAACAATAAATGAATGAATGAATGAATGAAAAGCATTTATTAAGTGCTTACTGTGTACCAAGCACTGTGCTAAGCACTGAGGATACAAACAGAAAAACAAGACAGTTGCTGCTCTTTAGGGGTATACATTCTAATTCAGAAAGACAGCATAGAGAGGTTTACCTGTAAGGTGGATGGAAAGGTTCTCAAGGTGTATTAGCAAAGTCCAGGGGTTTTTAGGGTGCATTGGAAGGTCAGATGGAAAGGCAGGCTGGCCTTCATATTTAATCTTATCAGAGAGATTGTAGTTAATGATTCTTCTGCTTATCCAAACAGTGTAACCAGCTCTGTCTGCCTACAACAAGTCAGGTGGGAGGACCTGAAAGGGTCAGCCCATGACTGTAGGGAAGGGAAGGGTGAACTGAAGGGTTAAAATGGAGTAGAGGCTTTGGATTGCCTCCCATGAGGATGAGGATTCAGTGGGGGAGGGGGAGTCAGTTTCCAGTTGGGAAGAGGGAAAGAGATGATGGCATTGGCAGGAAGGTTAGAGGAAAAGGCTTCTCAAGGCAGCTGTTGCTGCTGGGCTCTTTGGTACCCAGTGGGATCTGGGCAACAGGTGGCTTGGGGCTGGGTGGATTTAGGGGCAGGGATTTAATAAATTCTGTCACTCCTGTGTTCCATTTCCTCTTTGTTATGGCCTGGAAGGTATATGCACTTCTGTGGGAGTTGGCAAGAAGAAGAGGTAGAGCTGGTAGGGGGGAATCTCTGTAGGGAAAATCCATCCCTGAGGCACTGTCTCTCTTTTTTATACAAAGCATGTGTTTTGTTTTGTTTTCAGAACAACGCCATCAAGACGTCAAAATACAATTTCTTCACATTCCTGCCCATGAATCTATTTGAACAATTTCAGAGAGCAGCAAATGCATATTTCCTCTTCTTGCTGTTCCTCCAGGTATTTGGTGAATGCTTTTTAAGTAGTTTGTGTTTTGTTTTTTTTCAAATAACATTTTATCAACAAGATCTTCATAGAAAAATCAAAAGGTATCTTTCCTATTTGGATAAGTTTAGCCAGGGTGAAACTGGGAACCAGGTGATCTGCATGGGTTCAAGGCCAGTTCTCTTGAGCAGCTGTGATCAGGTTTGGCTAACATGAGTCTGGCCACACTTGAAGTGAATAAAGCAGAGCCTCCAGTCACTGACCAGATAGCTCCAGGCCTATAAGAGTAAGAAAGTTTAGCCTCCAGGCCATAAACACATTGAGACTTTGGTGGAAGTGTTCCATTTGGGGATTTCTGCAGTTAAAAGTCCCTTTCTTACATTTTTATGTATCCATAAATATTTCTGGACCCCTTTTAATACACAATTCCTCCATGTGACCCTGCAATATATCCTAATGGCCGTAGCCTGCTAAGGCCCTGAAGCCATTGACAATGCCAAGGAGGATAGGTCTAGGTAGGCACAAGGTAACTGTCTAGGTGGGGGAGACAAGAGAGAAAAGGACAAAAAATAAAAGTTAGAGTCCTCTGCAAACCAGTGGCAAATTTCTTCAACTTTCCCCCTAATCCTTATCAGCCCAGCAGTATACCTCAAACTTGGCCTAGAGGATTGAGGTTTTTTTTTTTTTTTCCCCTGTGCTTCACCTCCCTTCTCACTGTTTTTTATCAGTAAGAGGTCCTCCATGAAAGGAGCTAACACTTAGCTGCCAAAACAGGAGCAGCTGAGCCCATACAACAGTTTTAGCGGCCACCTACAATACTTTCTCTTCTTTATTCCTTGGAGTTGTATTTGTATGTAATTAAAGGACTCTGTGTTGATGAGCCTAGAATTTCCATAGCTCCTAGAAAAATATGATTTGATCCATTATCTTAAAAGGTGTCCCAGAATGTGTCCTACTCTCTCTTACTTTCTAACACTAGGTGCCCTCCCTTTTTCTCTTGCAGCTCATTCCACAGATATCATCTTTGGCTTGGTATACAACGGTGGTCCCTCTGGCATTAGTGCTCTCAATGACAGGAGTGAAGGATGCCATTGATGACATGGTGAGGTGACTTATTGGGCCTTTTGTTTTCTTTTGAGCTTTCCATGTCAGGTGGGGCAAGAAATACTTTTTGGAATTTCCCAACCTGTTATGGGGGGAGGAAAAACTAGCTTAAAATTCAGCTACTTCCTCCTCTAGGGGAAACTTCCACTCCTAGGCTCTTGAGACCCATAGGAGCTGGGGTACTGTGCTACTCCCTGTACTGTACCTGGGCATGTAGTTTGGATTGGGTGAAGTCCTGGGGAGCCTGGCCCTCTTTTGTCACCCTCGTTAGCTCGTTTAAAATCGTCTACTCTGGCACCTCAGGGATGGTTTTACTTGTAGCTTAGGTTATAGGGTATTGAAAAAGATACTCAATGTACAATATGATTCAGGTATGGCACAGGTAATGTATTCCTATACACACAAGAAATACTAATCCTAAAAGATTCACAAGTATGTATTAACGTAACAGAATTTAATAACTTATCACTGCCATTACAGTATGCTGGGAGGCTGATATTTATGCCTCGTGAAACATGAAGCAATTTGTGGGACTGCTAATTAAGCATTTTACATTTTACCTTCGCTCTGCATTGTCCAAAAACACGTACTACATGTCTGCTGCTAAAATATGCAAGCTCAGGCTAATATTCTTGTCGGTGGCCAGCCTCTCTGGTGCAGAAGTTTCTCCAACTACCAGCCAGATACAACTTAATAGGACCCATGGCATCCATACTTTTCAAACTCACAAGGTTGTCTACAAGCCTACTACATATGTGCATCTCATGCTACTCTTTCACTTAATATCAGGAGAGAATAAACATAAAAGAGGCAGCCAAATCCAGGCTCTTGCTCGCCCAGGCTTGAAATATGCTTTTGGATGGCAGTTTTCCAACTGTGACAAGTCATTTATCATTTTCTCAGCCAGCTGGAGGCCAGGGTAGGAGAATGATGGTACCTTACCCTTCTCCCCAGTCCCCTCTTGGGTAGCAGCTTGAAATTGTCCCCACTTGATTTACAACTAGAGGTAAAGACAGAGGCAAAGGGGCCAAGCAATCTCCTTTGTACATCCATTGAGTCATCATCTCTTCCAGCTCCACAGACAATAAGAGGACTCTTTATGCCCCTCAAATTGGGGTCCATTAGCACTGAGTCACACATGGCTGATAGCAGGCCCCCAAATTCCGAGCCCAGAACTGGGAATGTTAATTCTGTGCATACTCCATGGGATGGTCCTTATGAGCCAATTCAACTCCACTATATCAGAAAGTCAGCTCACAGTCTCTTAAGACTGTGTGCTTGAATGTTTATGGCCTAGCTCGAGGTAGAGAGGGACAAGGTGGTGTTATTCCTCCCCAATACTAGTATGTAATAATGACTGAGAAGAAGTGGCAACAGGCAGCAATCTGGAACCAAGAGAAGAAAGGTCACCAAGTTGGCAGGGGGAAGAGGACTGCAGGCATGACAGAAAGAGAAGCAGCCTCCAAAAAATGGAAAAAGCAGCCAAAGTTATAACCTTCGTAGCAATGAAACAGGTAGAGAGTGAAGGAGATTTCTGTACATGAAAGTCAACCGGTTGCCTCAACAGGAGCACTGCAAAAAGATAATGCCCATAGAAGTTAGTGTAGCTACAATTGGAGACACATTGAGAGCCAGGGTACAGGTGAAGCAGCTTCATATTATTCATTAGGAACAGAGTTATTTAAGACAATGTCAGAGCTAGGCCTTATACAGGCTCACTTAGTTATATGGAAGGCATACTAGTTGTATTATCATAGTATTGAATTAATAGCTCAGGACACTGGGACAGAGTCAGAGATCCAGGGGAGCTCCTGTACCAGCAGTGGTCTAGAGGTTATAACCTTCTTTATCCCTGTATGCAAGTGATTGTAACTACTTAGGATTTCTTTCCATAGGGTTTGGAACCCAGAATATATTTCCTGTGTAAATATATTAGAGGCAACAGCATCCCTGGGACTCTGTCACACATGTGCTTCTTGGATCACAGAGGAAACCACCATCTGATATGATTTTAGGCTCTACTCACTAAGTGTATGTGCTCAAAAGTGTCAAATTTAGACTTTACCTACTATTACCATCTAAGGCAGTGTTGAACTAGACAAGCAACCTGTGACAGTGTTGAAGATCTAAAGTGAATTGCAAAATGCATGGATGCATTCCCAACTACCACCTCTCAACATCTAATCCCTTTGTGCCTCCCTTTTCCTGCCTTTGAAATTTTTCTCTAGACTTTGTTGTATCTGTTCCTTGTTATTCTATCTAACTCTTTTTCTCGTTTTTTCACCAGGCCTCTACATCTCCATTTGCTCTCTCCCCATCTCCTATTCTCCCCTATTTCATCGTCTTCCAGTTTTCTTCCTTTTAGATCCTCTTCTTCCTCCTTTCCTCCTCTCACCTTTTAATACCTATCCTCTCTCTCCCTTCCTCCCTGTAAGGTCTAGTGGAAAAAAAGACTAGTCTGAAAGCTGAAAGATGTCTCTAGTCTTCCACTAACTAACTATATGACCTTAAATAAGTCACAACCTCTCCAATCTTTGTTTCTTTTTATGGAAAATGAAGGGGTTGGACTAAATGAGCTCTTATGCTCCTTCTAGATCTCAAATTCTATGTGTTTCTGATGTCTTGTCCTTCCTCTCTACCTCCCTTTTGGCCATCCTCCTGACCAGAAGCACTATATCTAGGAGTTATCAGACAGTTTTTAGGGAAGAGGTATATAGATTGTTTTGTGATTAGGTTCCAGGATTAAGTAGAGACTCAGTAAGAGTCTCAGTAAGAGATTCATCAAGACTGGGTTTGGTATATCTGTCTCAATATCATTGATGGAGGGGGCTGAGTCACAGTGAAGACTCTTGTTCTCCTCCCTCTGTAGATATTTCCAGTATTTGACCCATCCCTGGCCATCTGAAGTATCTTACTTACGTAGTTCATTCTAGGCCTAAGAGTTATGTTTATGCTTTCCATTGGTGTGTGGGGCTTGGGGCTAACAGGAATACCCCGTGGGACCCTCATGGTAAAGAGCAGAGCCATGTCATCATCATACTTGACCTAGCACATGAGAAGAGGGTGCTATCATTGCTTTACCCTTTCACTGCTAAGTTCTTGTTACTGATCAGCCTTCCTGAGGTAAGTATTTTCTCAAACAAGAAGTTTAGAAACACAGCAAGTTTGACAGTAGCAGTATGAGAATGTGTGTGTATATATATATATATATGTGTGTGTGTGTGTGTGTGTGTGTGTATATATATATATATATGTATGTATATAATTTTTTTTAAGTTTGGGCAAGTGTCCAGAACATTTTTCCATCCCATGCAAATGTTTCTGGATAGTTTCCCCTCTCATTTTTTTAAATTAAAACTTTATTATTATTTTTTGAATATTTTTCTTTTATGTTTATAGTATCGGCACAACAATGACAAGAAAGTCAACAATCAACCTGTTCTAGTGCTAGTAAATGGCATGTAAGTACTTGTGATTGGGGGCTTGAGGGGTGGGAAGAGTGGAACAAGTATTTCTCAGAAGAGTGACAATCTTGGATAAGATGACTATGTTTGTTATATTTAGTGGGGTTGTCATTAGAGAAATAACAGGTACAATCAGGTAGGTAGAATATTGGATAAAGTATTGGACTTGGAGTCTTCAAGATGTGAGTTCAATTCCTGCCTCAGCTGCTTGCTGTGTAATCCTCAGCAAATCAATTAACTTCTGTGTTCTTTTTTCTCACATGTTAAATGAAAGAATTGGACCCTAAGGTCCCTTCTAACTCTAAAACTATGATCCTTAGCATAATTCACTCCAGTAATGATACCTAGCAGTTTTTAACATCCATTCATTCAGCAGTAATATTCCACATACATGTACGGAGCATTATACTTAAAGCTACAGGAATAGACAGATGGTTACAACATGGCTCCTGCCATCATGGAGTTTATAGTGTAAAAGGGGAAATAAAACATATACATAAATAACTATAATGTAGAGCAAATACAGAATGTTCCAAAAGTCTTAGTGCCATTTTAAGCTTTAATTGCTTAAAACAGCACTAAGATTTTTGTAGTACCCTGATTAAATACTTTGAGAGCAAAAAATATAGTGCACTATGGGATGCCAGAGAAAACAATTTGTTTCTGATTGAAGTGGAAAGGAGTATAGGAATGCTTCATGGAAAAGTGGCATTTGAGTTGACCTATGAAAGAGAAATATAATTTTAACAGGTTGATATTTGGAGAAGGTACATTTCAGGTAAACACCTTTGGTAGTATCTCAGCAGTCTTTAGAAGGGGTTGGTGTTAATTAGCTGGTCCTGTGTCATTTTGTTACAGCATTCTAAGTATCATCAGGGTTTGAATTCCATTCCCAGCCACTTATCCAATATAGATTTCTAGACACTTAGAGAAATCTCTGGGCTTTTTCCTAGTGGTCAGGCCATTTGATTCTTATGCTAATTTCCTTGGAGGAAAAGAGCCTTAGGAAGTGGGTCCCAAATTATTCCATGTCTTTGATACTGCCAAAATGGAAGTAATAACACTGACCCTGGAAGTTGGTCTTAGAATTCCTCCTGGAAATTCCTTTCAGTTCAACAAGTATAGAAGACACCTAAAACTCCCAAAGCAGATATTCAGGAACCTCATATTCCAGGCAAGGCCTCTGTATAGCACTCAGGAAGAAGTTACACCAGAATCTAGTGACTGATTTTCAGATGCATAATAATGAGAGCAGTCTGAGGGTTCTGCTGAAGAGGGCAGCATGGTACAGTGCAAAGACTCCTAGCCCAGGAGTCATTTACCCTGGAGTCTAGTCCTGGATCTGTCAGGTACTAGCCTTATAACCATGAGCAAGTCACTACACCTTTCTGAGATTTGGTGTTGTTTCTAAGATGAGGTGGACAAGGCCAGATACTGATCTCTAAAATCACTTCCAGCTTCAGCATTCTGTGGAGGTTATGGGTCAGCCTGTCTCAAGGAGCCCCCCCGCCACACACACACGGAGATGGAGATTTGGAAGAGGTACATTTCAGGTGAATGACCATTGATAGTATCTCAACATTCTTGAGAATGTATGTATATACACATACATACATACATACATACATACATACATACATACGTATGTGTGTATACAGTTATCCCTTCCACATTGCAAGGGTTAGCAGCACAGCACCCCTGTGATCTGGAAAATATGTATAAAATGTTTTGGCCCTCTCTTTGTACTAGAGAAGTTTGAATTTTTTCTTTTTCTTTTATGGGGTGTTTCCAGTACCTTATTGGAAAATTTGGGTTAAGTATTTGGTCATAGGCTCTCTGTCATCTGCTGGCCATGTGTCATCTGCAGCTTCTGCAAAACTCCTCAAAAAATTCCCATTTAATTTCTTATGCCAACCCATGATATATCTAAACCGCACTGGGAAAAGTCACAATGTGGTAGGGATAACTGTATACACACACACACACACACACACATACACACACACACACAGACACACATGCTTCTCTCTCTTTCTCTCTGTGTGTGTGTGTGTATATATATATAAATGTATATATATATAATATGTAATATATACATATATATATAATATGTATTGTCAGGGGAACACCAGACTCCCCTGGGGATAGGGTTTTATATGTAAAATGGATCAGGATGCATCTTTAAAGTAGTTGGTAGACTGAGTCACTGACCTCTAATACAATGAACTTGAGACGAAATTGAAGGTCCACAGAACTCTAAAGTTCCCATATTATTAGGACCTACATAATGGGATCTAATCTTGCTGCAAACAGCTTATCTGACTTTTTGAACAGGCTTTATCACCTCTAAGACTCCCTGAATAAGAACTTGAAGGAAAGGACAGGGGCCTCCCAATGGAGTTCAATCTTCCAACATTTGGTCCTCTGTAAGAATGAAGAATGAACAACAACAGCAACAACAACATGTCAATTGTGGTAGCACTCTTATGCACAGAAGTAAATTACATCAGGCACTTCAGATGCCTCTTGTAGGGAGGTGATGGGCAGTAACCACATCAGAAAGAGAGAGACAGATGTATGGATCACATTCTGAAATGCAACATGTAATGATGCTGCATAGTTGTGGCATCCTGAAGACTCCCATAGCAGAAAAATTAACCTGATGAGCAGCACTTAAGAGATAGTAGGACCTCTGAGCAAATGCATTAGAAGAACCAAACAGTAAAAGACAGGGTCTGCGAGATAGTAACTGTAGTTGCCAAGGAGAGGACTAGATAACTTTGAAATATAGAAGGTGAGGAAAGAACTATTTGCCACAATTTGGTCCCCATTACAATAGCACATAAAGGATGTTGTATGAGTATCCACAGTTGTCAAGAGCAATTATTCATCAGAACTGTCAACACAGTGTCCCCACTCAACACATTATTCATAGCTACTATACGAACAGCCTATCTTACATGTGCTATGGGGAAGACAAATGATGAAGTGGTCTCGGTTATCTTTGCCAATGGGAATCTGTATGGTGATCTGATCAATAACTGCTTCTATTTGCAAAGTGCTTTTTAGACAATGAAGTATATAGAAATCCTCCTTACACACCCCTTGGGAAAGAGGGTTCATTAACCTTGCTTGATAACAGAGAAGTTGAGGCACAAAATGAGGAAGGGATCTCAATGTAAGGCTATTTATTTGGGAAAAGATGAGAGGATGGATATGAAAATGTGAACTAGTTTTTTTATTTTTGTTCAGTATTTTTTTTCCCCAGTTACATGTAAAAACAATTTTTAACATTAGTTTTTAAAACTTTTGAGTTCCAGATTCTCTCCCTTCTTCCCTTCCCACCCTCCCCCATTGAGAAGGCAAGCAGTTCAACATAGGTTTACACATGTGTAGTCATGTAAAACATTTCCATAATAGTCATGTTGTGAAAGAAAACAGATGAAAAGTTCTTCAGAGCTGTCTTAGATCATTATATTGCTGAGAATTGCTAAGTCATTCACAGCTGATCAGCTTACAATACTGCTGTTACTTTGTACACTATACATTTCACTTTGCATAATCTCATGCAAGTCTCTCCACTCTATTCTTAGAGCATCCCACTCATCATTTCCCAATGAACAATAGTATTCCATCAATCACATACCACAACTTGTTCAGCCGTTCCCCAATTGATGAGCAGCCCCTCAATTTCCAATTCCTTGCCACAAGAAAAGAGCTGCTATAAATATTTTTGTACATATAAGTCCTTTTCCTTTTTGCTTTTTTATGTCTTTTAGGATATAGAGCTACTAGTGGTATTGCTAGATCAAAGGGTATGCGTGATTTTATAGCCCTTTGGGCATCGTTCCAAATTGCTCTATAGAATGGTTGAATCATTTCACAACTCCCTCAGCAGTGCATTAATGCCCCATGTTTCCCACATCCCCTTCATCATTTGTCATTTTCCTTTTCTGTCCTATTAGCCAATCTAATGGGTATGAGGTACTGTTTAAGAATTGTTTTAATTTGCATTTCTTCAGTCAGTAGTGAGTTAGAACAGTTTTTCATATGGCTATAGATAGCTTTGGCTACTTCGTCTGAAAACTGTACCTATATTTTGATCATTTATCAATTGGGGAATGTCTTTTTTGTAAATTTGACTCAGTTCTCTATATTTGACTCAGTCTCTCAGTTGGTCCCCATTACAGTAGCATGTAAAGGATGTTGTATGAACATCCACAGTTGTCAAGAGCAATTACTCATCAGAACTGTCAACAATCTCCCCACTCAACACATCAATCACATCTACTATATGCACAGCCTATCTTACATGTGCTATGGGGAAGACAAATGATGAAGTGGTCTCTGCCTTTGAGGAGCTTAGAGTCTAGTTAGGGAGGTACATGAAACAATATATAAGTACTAAATTATGTGGTATATATTGTAAGTGGCATAAGAGTTCAGAAGAGAGGGAGATTAATGATAATTAGAGTAGTTAAAAAAAAAGCTTCACAGAGGAGATAGAAGTCCAAATGGATCTTCAGTTATGGACAGTATTTGAATAGCTACAGCAGAAAGAGGAAGTGTTGTAGGGAACTGAGACAAATTCTTTTCTCTATGGGAACCCCTAGACTATGAAGATAGCAAGATCTTATCTGCAAAGGATTCCAGCTTCACAAGTATTTTCCCAGTCTGGCACAGACTAGCTGGGACCTATCTTGCCTCCCAAGGACACAGAGGGAATCCAGCTTGGGGTGCAAACAACAAATTATGTCAGCTGGGGTGGGGCTTCGTCATTGACCCATTCAGGGCCTCCTGCATACTCCAGATCTAGTGTTTCTGGAAAATGTCGCAACTCAGAAAGGCAAGTGCAGGGGACCCCTTAACAGCCCTTAACATTGTGAGGAAAGTACTGCCTAAACTACAGTATAAATGTGAGTCATTATTCATCAGAACTCCACTAGAGTTTTGAATCCATTCCTGCAGCTGGTACTGTACTCTGGGACAGTCTCAGCCCTACTTCTAGCATTATTAGTTTCTTGGCCTCCAGCTGGCCCAAGAACTGGGCCTCAGAGCAGCCATTTAAAAGGTTATTTTCCTGCAGGGTAAAGGAAGAAAAGTGGATGAACATCAAAGTGGGGGATATAATAAAACTACAAAATAACAGTTCTGTCACAGTGAGTACCTTATTTCCCTGTAACTTAGTATCTTTTGGCTTCAGTGGGCTCTCAGCTGCTTCTATCAACCTTGGTTATAGTAGCCTTGCCTTGTAGCGAACAAGGATTAATGCACGCACCTCTAAGGAAGCTTTGGCTTCTCCCCATTTTGTTCCCAGCTTTAGGCCAAATTTGAGGGTTTTTGTTAATTTATTTTTTAAATTTGTTTTTAGTTTTCAACATTCATTTTTATAAGATTTTGAGTTCTAAATTTTTCCCCCTCCCCAAGATGGCCTGCAGTCTAATATAGGCTATATGTGTACAATCATATTAAACAGATTTCCACATTAGTTGTGTTGTAAAAGAAGAATCAGAACAAAAGGGAAAAACCACGAGAAAGAAAAAAAAAGAGAAAATAGTGTGCTTCGATCAGCATTCAGACTGCATAGTTCTTTCTCTGGATGTGGATAGATCTTTCCATCATGAGTCTTTTGGAATTATCTTAGATCCTTGCATTGCTGAAAAGAGCCAAGTCTGTCAAAGGTGGTCATCACACAATGTTGCTGTTACTGTGTACAATGTATGACCATTTCTTGCTGAAGCCATTCTAGGTCTGTGTGATTATTGCTTCCTCTTCTATATGTTCCCTAGCCATAACTTTAATAATACATTCAAGAATTCTGTCAGCAATCCAAATCAAGATCACTGGTCTACAGTGTGCGAACTATTTTCTTCCCATTTCCATCTCTGTCCATTTGGGACATTTGCCCTTTCCCACAGTCTTTCAAATATCAGTGACCAAGTTTGAGGTTTTTATAGGGGAAGGGGAGGCAAGGAGGTGACTTTATAGAGAATTTGAGTTGAATCCCAGTCTAAGGAAGCTAGTAATATATATCAAGTCCTTGAGTTGCAGTCACCATCTCTGTCAAGTCCTTGAGTTGCAGTCACCATCTCTGTCATGGCATCCTTCTGAAAATCTCGCTGTCAGCTTTTCTCCCATGGACGCTATTAGCTATATGATGTTGGTAAATTGCTTAACTTCATAAAGGGTTGTTGTGAGAATCAAATAAAAACCAAGTATATATGGGTATTACTTTGTAAAACTGTGAAGATCTATACATATGTGAAGGATTATTCTTGTTAGCATCATTCTTCATCTTCTTTAACTTCTTTAACTTAAGGCAGATGTGCTGTTACTCTCCAGTAGTGAACCCAGTAGTCTGACCTACATAGAAACTGCAGAACTAGATGGGTGAGTATTCCAGCCTGTGGTTAGGTTAGGTTAACAAAGCCAACAATGTCAGGTATCAGTAACTCCAACAGGTGTTTGCTTGATATGTGACAAGAAAAAGTTGCTCTTCATTAGGAAAAAATATTGCAACGTTTAAGAATAAACAGGTTGTATTTCCAGGTGCCCTGGCCAAGAGAACTGTACAGAATATTCATGCTTCAGGTAGGGATTGGACTGAATGGCCTCTACGGCCTCTTCCTCCTTAGGTAGAATCTTGTGCTCTCCTAACGTGGTCTTGAAATATAGTCACCTCCGCACCAAGAGGTAGCATCACAGCAGGACTTCTATTCTGAAGGGTGTGCAAAATATTTTGGAAAGTTTGGAATTGTTTTCATAGAGCTTAGATGTTAAAGTTTTGAGATCATTTAGAGAGTCTACATTTACATTCCTTTAACATTTAAAATTCTGTCCAAACTATTTCCCCAGTCCTCTCTGTGCCCATTTGTTGTTATAAAGCATCTGTAGTTTTTACTTCTATTACCATTTCTTTATTCAGATGCCTGTTAATCACTGAGCAAGGTTACCTTTGGGTTTGTGTGAAGTCACAGATATGCAGGAGTTTCAGCCCTTGCATTTGCTGAGCTTAGGAACCCTGCCATCTTTTTCTAAGCCTCATCTCCAAGGCTCTCTTTGCTATTTCTTTAGGATCTCTAGTCATCTACCTCAGTTTGAATCTAGGAACATATAGAGAGAAGCTTACTAGTGGAGTTACAACTTCAGGATCAATGCTTAGCTCTTCAGAACCATCTAAGTATATTTACTCTCAGGAAAGAGCCGAGATTGTGGTCTTCTTAGGGCAGAGGAGCATGACCCAATTCCATTTTAAATATAGCATATTTTGTGAAACCCCTGTAGGTGAGTGTGAGTGCATCGGGGTGTGTGTGTGTGTGTGTGTATGTATATATATTTATGTATATATACATATATAGACACACAGATGGATAATAGCTTGTATACATAATTTTATTTATATGTCATAGGTTAATTATAAATATAATTATATGCATTAATATATATGTATGTATAATTTTGACTCCAGGGAGACCAACTTGAAAGTGAAGCAAGCCTTGACTGTCACCAGTAACCTGGGAGATAACCTGGAGAAACTGACCACCTTTAAAGGTCCGTTAAGAATTAGATTGCTTTTGGAAATTGTCAGGCTACATTATCATTTCAAATTTAGATCTTTTATAAATTGGTAAAATTGTGTTTCGTGAACTGTTTGTTATTCAGTTCTTTCTCTGTGTATGTGATCAATGCCACATGCAAAATTCATTCCTTCCAATATCCAGAAAGCATTGTCTTTCTGTAATGGGATAAGGAATTGTAAATACCCAGAAATGTGATGAGGAGAAAAGCTGGGAAAAGGGGTGGGAAATGTTTACTTTTTGTTGTTTAATCATTTTTAGTAGCATCTGACTCTTTGTCACCCCTTTTGGAGTTTTCTTGGCAAATGTCTTGGAGTGGTTTGCCATTTCCTTTTACAGATGAGGAAACTAAGGCAAACAGGGTTAAGTGACTTGCCCAGGGTCACACAGCTAGTCACACAGTGTCGGAGGTTGAATTTGAACTCAGGTCTTCCTAACTCCAGGTCTAGCACTCTATCCACCATGTCACATAGCTACCCCAGTACATACTTAGGAAAGGAAATATTTATTTCTCTACTGCCTATGGGCTTCGTCTCCACATCCCAGGACGTGCATGTGATTTCCTCCATGAGTTTTATCTTTCTTTTATCTTTTATCTTTCTTCAGGTGAAGTCAGGTGTGAGCCTCCTAATAACAGATTGGACGAATTCACAGGGATATTGATCTATGAGGGTGAAAAGCATGCTTTGAACAATGAGAACATATTGCTGAGAGGCTGCACCATCCGGAACACAGACTGGTGTTATGGCCTTGTGATTTATGCTGGTAAGTTTCACTAAACGTCTTTGCCGAAGCTGTAACCCACAGGATACCATTAAAATGTGGCCAACTTTGTCAGTACTGTTTTCTTCAAATGGCAAAAACAGAGTACTTTGGCTATGCCATTCATGTGTGTCTGTGTGAGAGGTCTGAAATTTCAAGTGTCTTAAAAAAAATTCCCCAGCATTCTCGCTATCTACATTAGAGTCATTCTGTGTTGAGCCTACAGCCCACACATTAATCTTTTCAACTATTCCTAGGTATGTGAGGAAAAGTAAACATGTTGAAGAGGCATATACATAGAGGGGATATACAGTGTCATAAGGTGGGGGCAAGAACACATCTCTGTGGCACATTCATGTGGAGTGTACGTACACAGAATATTCCCATGAAGAGTACCTGACTGGGGATAACACCTACATCACCAGTATTCACAAGGAGTGAGAAAGAAAGAAAGAAAATAAAGAATATCAAGAGGGGACATGATACTGACCTCAGTTCTTTGATAGATTTGTGATCTCATTGATTTGGATAATCCAAATCATGCAAATCATAGTACATCTATGCCTGCCCATCCTGTTCATGTATTGTCCGTGTCTCCCCTTAAATCTGCTGTAGGGGTCCACTCAACATGCTAAAGGTTTATCTCTAGAAATCTTGATATTTCTTGGATACCAGTAGAATATGTGAGTTCTCTATTAGTTATCCCTTGAGGTTGCTTATCTTTTTTTTTTCTAGTTATACAGCTCTCTGATAATATACCTTTATGTTACTTCTGTGAAATTTTTTTTATTTTTATTATGTTTCAGCCTTCCTAAGCTCCGTGTGTTTTTCTGTTGCCCATTGAGTGATCTTTAACTTCACTTCTTTGGAAATTATCATATTTCTTGACTTTCAGCTATATATCACTGGAAGACTGGTTTAAAAAAAAAGTGGGCATTTGTTTCCTAAGAGAAACTTGAGGTCATTTAAAGAACTTCAGTTTCTCAAAGGCAATTCAGCCCACTTTCCTTTTCAATTTTGGGCCCAGTTAATTATTGTCCATTTGCAGTGTTATTCATCCAACTGTCTGTCACATGGGGAGAGAATACATCTGATATATGATACTATCAGTAGCATCCTCTTCCAAGCAGAGGCCGGGATTTTCCCAGGCCATGAAGTAGTGGTAGAGAAAGGTAAGAGGTCCCTTTCTTCCCCTCAGTGCTTCATGTCAGTGGGCTGACCATTGACTTCAGCTGGATAATGGGACAACTTGGACTTGTCACTTCTTTCACACAGTGGGAGCAGGAGTTAAAGTTCCATGAGATAAAAAAGAGAATTTATTAAAAGGAAGAGTCTTCATGCTCTTCGGAGTAACATAGCTTTAGAGACCCATGTGGTCCTATACTCTTGTTTCCTTTTCTCATAGGACCCCACCAGCTGAAAAGGAAGGTAAAGAGGCTCAGTAAGACAGTCACAACCTAGGTCAAACAGTTGGGACCACTCTCCTAGTTGAATCTTAGTCTGCAGGGCCTTCTCCAAGGTCCCTATCTGAGAGCCAAAAAGATGTGAAATAAACATATTCTCTACCCCCAATATCCTCATTAACCAAGTAGTAATAATTTGGAAGAAGACAGAAGCAGCCTTACTGGTGTTACTGAGTCACAGTTTCTGCATCGCTCTCTCATTTGGCTCTGGTTTCTGGGATGTGAGAAGCTCTATGGAGCTTAGGAGCCTCAAATGTCAAGAAAGGAAAATGTACTTTTAATGAAGCTTTGGAAAAAGAATAATATCCTTTGTCAGACCATATGTTCTGATTTTTGACTGAAAAGATATTACTACCATATTAATATAATAGAGTTCCTGTCTCTTGTTGTCTGGCATGATATTTAAATTATATCTGTCCTCCAAGGCAGGTGGGGGGAGGCATACATCTCTAAAGATCTTTTTGGGAAATTGCCTCCTACAGACTTAGCCACATTTCTATTGCAGTGCTATGTCTTCAGGCTAACACCTGAATGAAAAGAACAGTACTGCATGGTGGAAGTTTTGTATTTTTGGTGTTCAACCCATAGATGTGAGGGCTTGCCAAGCTCTTTTCAGGGCTGGTTATTCACCTTTGGTGTCTACCTGATTCACCCAACTCTCCTGTGACTCCGAGAAGCTGTAGCATGCACAGTGACCACATCCCAGTAAACCATCTGGGCAGATGGGCCAAACCCAATTGAGTGTAACCAACAGGCTCAAATTTGTTGGTGAGTTAGAGGGATGTCTACCCTAAACACATGAAGACTTTCCCCAATGGAATAGGCAGATGAGAACAGTGTGTTCCAGCAGCCATAAAAGTGCCTGAAGCAGGCATTATGGAGCTCTTAGAGCTTGGTCAAGCATTAAAGACTCCAAGGTCATGCACTGCATCCTGGGCCATCACCAGTCATCTTGACTTTTGTCCTGCCACTGGATTTCAGTGACTCAGGAAGAAGGAGTGAGGCTGAAGACTTTATTGGCTCACAAATCCAATTCATGCAAAAGTCAAGACATCACCCATGATGTTGCTGGCCCACTTTGAAAATGAAAGACAAACAACAATTCACATAATTGATGACCAGGAAGAATAACAGTTAGATAGTGAAAGGACAAATAAATTGCCTTCTTTTTAGCTTTTTACTCTGAGTTTCCCATGTTGGTTCTTCCAGCTAAAATCTCTGGTGGATGGTTTTCAGAGTTATTTCTGTTAACCATGGAGAGTTTGCTACCATGTTGTTCCTCACCAGAGCGGTCTCAACTCTATCACCTCTATGCTCAACAAGCTTTTCCTCACTACTCTCAGTTCCCCCATTCTCCCCCTCCCAACAACTTTGCTCTTATACTCCCACCCTATTTCTTCATTTATTGCGGGAAAGCTATCTCCCTGGTTTAGAACTTATGGACTGAACTGCCCTTGTAGCGGAGGATACTTCCCAAAAGTCTGTGGTTCCCATTGTCAGGAAATTTTCTTACAAAAAAATGTCCAGCTGTTCTAGAAGTGCCTGTCTGTGGAAAACACCGGGCCCTGAGAGCTCAAGAAAGGAAGTGGTGTGAAGTTTCTATAGACATTTGTTGTTGTTCAGTCATTCAGTCATGTCCAGCTCTTCAGACCCCAGGAATCCTAGCACACCAAGTGCTTCTACCTTCCACTATCTAAAGACATAGCAGGTACTCAACTTACAAATACGACTTCTATAGTGTGTGTTGGGGGACAAGGACCTTTCTCCAAGGCCTTGTCCTCTTACGCTGCTTTTGCTTGATTCTGAATAAAACTGGTTATCCCCCAAAATACGCCTGTGTTTGACCTAGGTCATGACACCAAATTAATGCAGAACAGTGGAAAGAACATCTTTAAACGGACAAGCATAGATCATCTCATGAATATCCTTGTGTTCTGGGTAAGTCAAAGAATTTTCTCTTCCCTCCTTTACAAGTAGGCAGACTTTGTGTAAGAGTAACTAATGTTTCTAGTGTACATATATGTCAAAAATGAAGGAAGGAGCACATTATAAACCTTACAGTGCTATGTAAATGTGTTAACATTAAGGTCTTCTTAAACTTACCTCTCAGAGTTGCTGTGAAGATCAAACGAGATAATCTTTGTAAAGTGCTTCTTAGCACAATGCCTGGCACGTAGTAAGGGAGTGGAGGATGGGAAGGCAGTAAGTATTTATATAGCACCTATTATGTACCAGGCACTATGCCAAGTACTTTATAAATATTATCTCATTTGATCCTCATAGCAACTATGAGAGGTAAATTTAAGAAAAAGTTAACAGATTTTTATGCTACTTTAAAGTTTATAACGTGATATCTTCAGAAAACCCCTTTGAAGTAAGTAGTACAAGTATTATTGTCCTCATTTTACAGCTAGGTCCCAATTAATGTGAATAATGAATCCTATGAAGGGTCACGTTGTTTGAATTTGCACTAATTGAAGTTATATGTACATGTAAAATATGGTCATTTATTCCAGCCCATTGGAAATATGCAATGGAAATTGTTTTAATTAGTTTTTAATTTATCAGTATAAGAGGAAAGGATAAGAAAAATGTATTTCTGATTCAAGTTTATCACAAAACAATAAAGTAGTTATAGAAAGCAAAGTTTAAAAACTTAAAAAATTACTATGTAATCTAAAGATAAAACCTACATTGACAATATGATGACAGTGTCATTATTGTGATTTATATTATGTTAGCAGCAAACTGTCTTCTTTTCCTAAATCTTTTTTTTTGGGGGGGGGGGCTAGGCAGTGGGGTTAAGTGACTTGCCCAGGGTCACACAGCTAGTAAGTATTATGTATCTGAGGCCAGATTTGAACAGCTAGTAAGTGTTATGTGTCTGAGGCCGGATTTGAACTAAGGTCCTTCTGAATCCAGGGCCAGTGCTCTGTTCACTGCACCACCTAGCTGCCCCCTTTTGCTAAATCTTAATACATAGTGGTAGTTGCCGAGAGCTTTAGTCACATTTTCATTAATTTGCATGTTTGCATTTTGATACTTGAACCAATTGTAGTTGGATGACCTCGGACATTATCTAAAATTATAATGCAATAAATGCAACATTGTTGTCCTTGCAATATATTTCAGACTAAAATGTCTTGAAGACCCATCTTCAAAAACTGCTTTAGTAACCTATGATTTCTTATTTTACTGCTAAAGAACTGGAAGTGTTTGATGGTTGTAGTCTCTCAGAACCCAAAGATTTCAAGACCAATAAAAAGTATGGATTTTAATTTAAAATCCTCTTCTGCATTACATTCCAATAAAAGTGTTAGACAGTCCTTAGACACTGAAAATCTAGGTTCAGTTTTTTTTCCTTCTTAGAAATGTAAGTTATAAAAAGAATCCTTTTCCAGAATGAGACTGTTTCTTGTACATTAAAAATTTGTTGATCAATGTATCTGTCTTCAGTTATTTTCTTCAAAATATCAGGATGCTATCCATCTTCAGCTTCACTGGCCATTTTTCTGGTGATTTTGGCATTATACAATTGAACTAGATTTTTAAAAATTTATTTTTTTTGTTACATTTTTAGTTCCAAACTGTCTCCCTCCCTCCCCACCTCACACTAGAGGTCACCATTTGACGTGTATGTATGTATATATGTATGTATGTATGTATGTGTGTGTGTGTATAATAGTATGTGTGTGTATGTAAATAAAACCATACTATGCATACTTCTATTTATCAGTTCTTTCTCTGATGAAGATAAGCAATTTAATAATATAAAAAAGATAGCATCTTCCTTCATAGGTCTTTTGTAGTTGATAAAAATATATATAATAATAAGAATAACTTAGTTGTTCACAGTTATTCTCTGAGCAATATTGCTGTTATTGTATACAACATTCTTTTGTTCTGATCATTTTAGCCAATCTGATAGGTATGAGATGATATCTCAAAATTATTTTAATTTGCATTTCTCTAATCAATAATGATTTAGAGCATTTTTTCATATAATATAGATAGCTTTGATTTCTTCATCCAAATACTGCCTGTTCATATCCTTTGACCATTTATCAATTGGGGGCTGATTCATAGTCTTAGAAATTCGACAAAGTTCTCTAGATGTTTGAGACATAAGACCCTTATCCAAGAAACTGTCTATAAAATTTTTTCCCCAATTTTCTGCTTTCCTTCTAATTCTGGCTACATTGGTTTTGTTTGTACAGAAGCTTTTTAAGCTATTGTAATCAAAATCATCCATTTAACATCTCACAAAGCTCTCTCTCTTGTTAATTCATAAATTCTTCTCCTATCTATAAGTCTGATAGATAATATGTTCTGGGTTCTTCTAATTTACTTATGATATCTCCCTTTATATCTAGGTCATGTATCCATTCTGACCTTATCTTGGTAAATGGTGTAAGATATTGGTCTATATCTATTTTTTTATATTTATATTTTTTAATTTTTTAAAAAAAAATTTTATTTATTTTGATTTATCAACAATCACTTCCATATGCTTTTGAGTTTAAAATTTTTCTCCCTCTTCCTCCCCACCACGCTCCCCAAGATGGTACACAATCTGATATAGGCTATACATGTACATTCGTATTAAATATATTTTCACATTAGTGATGTTATAAATAAAAATTAGAACCAATAGGAGGAACCACCAGAAAGAGGAAACAAAACTCAACAGAAGAGAAAAAAAGTAGCAATTCAATTTCCATAGTTCTTTCTTTGGATATAGATAGCATTTTCTATCACGAGGCCTTTGGAGATGTTTTAGATCCTTGTATTGCTGGGAAGGGTTAAGTTTATCAATATTAGTCATCGTATAATGTGGCTGTTATTGTGTACAACGTTCTCCTGGTTCTGCTTACTTCACTCAGCATCAGACCATACAAATCTTTCCAGGTCTTTCTGAAGTCAGCCTGTTCATCATTTCTTATATAGCACAATAGTATTCCATTACATTCATATACCACAACTTGCTCAGCCATTCCCCAACTGATGGGCATCCTCTCAATTTCCAATTCTTTGCCACCACAAAAAGAGCTGCTATGAATATTTTTGTACATGTGGGTCCTTTTCCCATTTGCATGATCTCCTTGGGATATAGCCCTAGAAGTGCTATTGCTGGGTCAAAGAGTAATGCACATTTTTATAGCCCTTTGGGCATAGTTCCAAATTGTTCTCCAGAATGGTTGGATCAGTTCACAACCCCACCAACAATGCATTAGTGTTCCAATTTTCCCACATCTTCTCCAACATTTATCATTTTCCTGTTTTGTCATGTTGGCCAATCTGATAGGTGTGATGTGGTACCTCAGAGTTGTTTTGATTTGCATTTCTCTAATCAATAGTGATTTAGAGTATTTTTTCATGTGACTATAGATGGCTTTAATTTCTTCATCTGAGAACTGCCTGTTCATATCCTTTGACCATTTATCAATTGGGGATATACCTATTTTTTACCAGACTGCTTTCTAGGGTTATTTCAAAGTTGTCACCACTACAACATAACCAGCAAGTGATCATCTAGGCTTTGATTGAGGACCTACAGTGAGGAAGAATTTACTTCTTCATAACGCAGCCTATGCTACTTTTGGATAGCTCTGTTAGGCAGTTTTTCTTGCCATAGAGCCTAAATTTCCCTCTTTTCACCTTCCACCTGTTATTCCAAGTTTTGCCTGCTGGGGCTAAAAAGAACAAGTCTAATCTCTATGCTGGAGGACAGTACTTGAAATAGATGAAGTCAAGCCACCCCTAAGACTTCTCTCCTTCAGGCTTAACATCCCCAGTTCCTTCAGCTAGTCTTCATTTGGCCTGCACTCAAGACCCATCTCCATATTGGTTGCCTTCTTTTTACTAATGCTGCTCCTCCAAAGTCATTCATGACCTTTTTGTTTTTAAATTCAGTGACATCTGTTTCAGTATACATTGCCTTTGATCTCTATGCAACATTTAGTATTGCTGACCACTCTCTTTCTTTGGACACCATGACACAGACTAGTACTTCTATTTCTCTGATTTCCCTTTTCTCCATCATTACTCCTGGCTCTTCTACCTCTTCCTGTTCCTTAAATGTCAATCCAGTGGGCGGAGCCAAGATGCAGAGAAGAGTCAGGGACTCACCAGAGCTCTCCCGAAAAACCCTCTGAACAATTTTAAGTAATGCCTTAAAACAAATTCTGGAGCAGTATAATCCACAAAAGGACAGGCTAAAACAATTCTCCAGCCAAAGACAACTTTGAAGGTTGGCAGGAAAGGTCTGTCACGCTGGGGTCAGAGTGGAGTGCAGTTCAATTCAGGCTACACAGTACAGACCAGGCCTCAGCAAACCAAGAGCAGGCCTTGGGAGTGACTGAATCAGCAGCAGCATCCACCCTGCTCCAGAGCTGTCAGCCCACATGCAGTAAGGGAGTCAAACAACTGGTTAGAAGGAGATTACAAGGATCTCTTTGCTAGCAATGAAGGGGGACTCTGTTGCTTTGCCCATATTAGATTCAGGTCCCAGTCCTGGGTGGCAGTCCTAGGGCAAGAAGGAGCAGTAGCACACCAGAGCTTGGGGCCACAATGGAGTAAGGAGAAAAGAGCGCTTGAGGTCACTCACAGACCAAAGGACAGGCCAGGAGAGGAGCAAACACACCTCTCCTTAGATCATATCATTTTGGAAAAACCGAAATCTTACAGGTCCCTAGAAGTATCTCTGAAGGTTGGGACAGTGCACCCTCCACCCTGGAAGCAGAGTCCTACTTTAGCAAAGCATTAAAAGTCAAGAAATAGTCTGGGAAAATGAGCAACAACAGAAAAAAAAAATTCTGACTATACATAGTTACTATAGTGACAAGGAAGACCAAAACCTACACTCAGAAGAAGAAAACAAAATCAAAACTCCTACATCCAAAACCTCAAAGAAAAATATGAACTGATCTCAGGCCATG